GAGACGTATGCACGAGCACGCCGCACGCAGACATTCCACAGCTCTCATGCATGCCAAGATATGCAAAGCAAACCAAGCGCATGTCCTTTGCAGCTGCGGCACGCGGTCCAACCTCCTCCCAGCTCGGTGTCGGTGCTCTGTCCTGCGATGCCGATGCCGATGGCTGCGTCGGCGTCGTTGCCGTCGTCATTCTGGCAACCCTGGCTGGCGCAGTTGAGGCAGAAGCCCCAACGAGCCTTGTTGCCATCGTTGCACTCGATGTTGAAGCCCGGCCTCGCGGAACCGATCACAACAGGAGCAGCCGCCGCAGCAGCAGCAGCAGCAGCAGCAGCAGCAGAAGCAGTAGCAGCAGCAGGTGGCAGGAATAGCTAAAGCAAAAGCAGTCGAAACAGTATCTGCAAGGGCAAATATGCAATTTGTGTCACTGGCCTCTGCATGGGACAGTCCTGGTAGGAGTCTTTCGCAGGGCCGAAGTTACTGAGAATCTCGTCCCGCTTCACGGTTTCGTCTCGAATGTACCCGGCGCTGAAAAGGGCCTTCGCGTTGTCGTACTTCTTCGAGAAGACGTGCTCCACGCAATTGGATTCCGGGCTTCCGACGCACATGCGAACCCTCTTAAAGGGCTCGGTGTTGAAAGCGCTGTACTTGGCATCCTCCTCTTTGGCCAACGCAGAGCCTCCAGATGGTTGGACCTAACCCCTTTACAGCTCCCAAGCCTGAACCCCAAGCCCCAAATCAACCCTACATCCAGAAACTTAAACCCTGAACCTGAACCTCAAACCCACACTCTAGAAGCCCGAAACCAAATCCTCTCAACCCCTCAACCCTAAAACTGCTGAACCCGACATCCGAAATGCCCTTGACTTCCCTCCGAAGCCGAAAAACCCTACATCCTGCGGTTGTTGGTATAATTCCTGCATTCCCCATAATAGGGAATATATACCATAATTTCCGTATAGTTTAGGATCCTTTAAAATCATGCAGGATTTCTATCATCAACAGTAGGACCGTGAAGACCAAGCCTGCATTGAGGAGATCGCTGTTGGTCCAAAGCGCGTTGGAGAAGCCCAGCGTCGCTGTCTTGCCAACCTTCAGCGCGAGCTTCCAGTTGCCCTGGCGCTGTTGTCGGTAAACCCCAAACCCCAAACCCAAAAACCCAAAACTCTAAGCCCGAAACCCTGAATCAAAACCATAACCCCTAAACCCCAAACCCTCAACCCTAAACGTTCTGGATTCCAGGGGTGCCTACCGGAAACCACCAGATCCCCTCAGCTTTCAACGGGTTTTCGGGAGGCGGGGTGAGGATTTGGAGTGCAGACGTTTAGGGGTCAGGGGTTTAGGGGTTTTGAGGTTTTGGGGTTTAGGGTTTAGGGTTTACTTGGGGGTTCATGGGTATTTAAAAATGGGGTTATAAGTAAGGTAACTACACATATAACCCATATTAGGGGACTGATAACCCCACTTATGACTACCCATGAACCTCCAAGTAGGGGTTTCAAGGTCAGGATTTAGTGTTGAGCATTTAAGGGGGGGGTGAGGGTTTGGCGATTGGGCTTTACGTGTCAAGTTTGGGGTTGCTGGATGGGATTAGAAAATGGGCCTCCTTGTTTCAAGCCCACAGAGTCTCAATCATTAAACCACGGAACCCACCCCTAAACCCCGAAACTCTCAACCCCTTTAACCCAAAACCCTGAACCCATCGAACCCCTAAACCCCAAAACCCAAAACCCAAAACCCCAAAACCCTAAACCCTAAACCCCTAAACCCCTAAACCCCTAAAGTCCTAAAGCCCTAAACCCCTAAACCCCCAAAACCCCCCAAAACCCCGAAGCCCTGAACTTCGAACCCCCTGGCCGGCCTTGGGCGGAGGAGGGTTGAGGCTGTAGACCCAGAGCCAAACCTAGGCTTTCCGGCGCGCCGGATCCCGGAACTTCCCCCTGCGCCCTCAACGCTGAACCCCTGCAAAGGAACCCTTCTTCCTTTTCAGGGTGCTCTACTTGGAGGTTCATGGGTGGTTATACGTGGGGTTATAAGTCACCGAATATGGGCTATAAGTACCGTTACCTTACTTATAGCCCCATTTATAACTACCCGTGAACCTCCAAGTAAACCTCTACACCAATGGTAGCCTTGTCGGTGGGAGACGACACGATAAAACCACATGCTGGTAGCAGTTGTGGGCAATCTACGCACAGGCCAAAGCCGAAAGCCGACGGGACACGGATTTGAAGGTCTTGCTGTTGGCACTGCACGTCCCTTTCCCTGAAGCGAAGTACCTGAGAGAGACATGCACAAGTGCAACACCCGGGCGCATTAAGCTGTGACGAAAGCACGAAGCAGAACTCCATTTGCATCTGCGGCACGCGGTCCAACCTCCCCCAAGCTCGGTGTCGGTGCTCTGTCCTGCGATGCCGATGCCGATGGCTGCGTCGGCGTC